GTGAAGTTCAGATGGCCACGGTCAGACAGATCTGGATTGCCAGAGATTGCATGGCAATCTGCGGGGAAAACTCCCTGGGAAAGCTGCAGCTTCACTAGGGAATTTTCCCACGTGGATTGCCAGTCTGCTCTCAAACACCTATAGATGTCCTTTTTTATACACATTCTGTCTTCCTTTCTTACTGCACTACAGTGTCATACCAAAGTGTATCTTAGTGGATTCTACTGCAAAGTGTATTTTACACTACTTTTCTTTCCCAAATGCTTCTAAGTGGTAGTGATAATTTAAGGAGAAGACACCAGTGTCAGATAGCAGCGATGGAGATAAAAGATCTGCTTCTTTAGAAACGTCCTAGTAAAGATTGCTTTCTGGAAGAAAGTCAGGGTAAGATATTACTCTACTCTGATGATTCACATTCTCAGTGGGAGGTTACACAGCAGAAAAAATAACCTTCCAGTTCAGAAAATTCAGCTTTGATAGAGAGAAGGCAGGGATTATAGAACTAAAAAGAGATCTGCCTTGGGTGGAATGTCATTTATGTGATTCACCAAATTTATTAGGTTTTTATAGGGCCAGGAGAGAGAGATTACAACATTGTCTCTTGGGTCAGATGAGATTATATGGGACTGTACTCTAGTTTATTACTCCCTGAACCATTTTAGTGTGTGTTCTAAGTCTTGCAGGAAAAAAACAGGCAGATAACTTGAAAACCTTCATCAGACAAAACCCAATAGCTGTCAAAGATATCCTGACCAGGAACCGCATGCTTTTTCAGTAACAGAGATTTGGGTAGCAGATTAAGAGATGGTATTTACTTCTTGATTTGACTTTACTGTGCTTACAGCTTTGCAGAAGTGGTTGGTTGCAGTGTCAGGGAAGGCTGGTTTGGTTTTACATGAGATAGGTAGGAGTCTGAGCAGCTTCCCAACCAGACATTCCCTTCTGTCTAGTGAAAAGGCCTGATCATGTTGGAGTCAGCCCTGCTGTCTGTTCATGGTCCCATGTTACTCTGCTGCTTCACCTCTTATAAGGTTGCCATCTTCCACTGGCAGGTGAAGCAGTTCCAGATGTCTTGTTTTGTCATGCTGTTTTGGCAGTTATTCACACCCCACACTAGCTTGAGCAAATAAAGCTTGTGGACCATAAAGAACAGCCTGCTTCTGCTTGTTCCTTCTCCTGTCCAGCCAAACCTTCTCTCAGCTAAATTCCTCTACAGTGCTGCTGCGTATCTCACTGCTTCCCATCGCTCTCGCTTTCCAGGGAGGATTGTAGAACCACCCTTGTTCACCACAGGTTAGGATGGCTTTTCACATGAGAAAGAGCTGCCTCACTCTTCCTGTTCTACTTTCTCAACTCACAATTATTGGATCTTTGTCACCAGATTTGTCACCACATTTCCTGGGTGTGAAGGCTTATTCATTACGTGTAGATGTGGCACGTGGGGATATAGTTTATTGGTGGACTTGGCAGTGTTAAGTTTATGGTTGGATTCTATGATCTTAAAGGTCTTTTCCAACCTAAATGGTTCTATGATTCTTCCTGGTGTATGTAGCAAGAGGATCCCCACCACCATCCACAGACTTTTTTCTGAGGTTGCCATTTCTAGGGGAAATGAGGGAAACGCTTTTTATTTCTATTTACTGTCAGTTCCTTAATTTACTGTAAATATCATTTGGGCATCATTATGGCTAAGAACTTTTAAATTGCAAGTTTCTCTTCTGGAAATGGGAAGTGCAGCTAACATTGCTATGTATTTGAAGAGATGGGTTTATTTCTAGGAAAGGAGGAAAATTAAGTCTTCTGGATCCTGAAAATTCCAAAGTGGCAGAAATAAGAAAAAAGTTTTTTAAAAAAATGGGGAAACTATGAAGAATGAAGTATTTCTTAAAAAAAAAAAAAACAACTCCCTTTCTGGAGCTGAAACTAAAATATACTGATAGCAGAAAACACTTATGTAGCATTAAAATAAGATAAGCAATCTGCCCCTCTTGTAAAAGCTGGTCTCCCCTACTTGCTCATACAAACTTCCTGCAGGCCACCAGCTGCAAATGGAGTTGTACTCCTGATCCCATCTGACTGGACATACTGAGCAGTAGGGATTTCATCTCATTGTAAATACCCATAAAGCACTTGAGCAGTGTTCTACAGTAATGTGCAGTACTGTACCTTCTATGTTTTATATGCACAAATAGTTGCTTTCAGATGTGTATTTGTGTCAATTTTTTGAACTCCCTGCTTTCAGCAATGTAGAATATGAGAGAGAACTGGAATTGTTTACAGCCTTTTATGCCCAAAGTAGCTGGGACTCCCATATGACTTAAGATGAGTTTGTTAATTGACAGTTTGCTTTAATGTAATGATTCCAAAACTTCATCTGTTGTTGAAATATTTATTCTGCTGTTATTCCATTACTCTTTATTGGTTTTATTCATAAGAAACTATTCAAGGTTAAAAAAAAAAAGTGTATATTTTACATACATTTCCTTTTGAGATGTTTGGCACAGGCCTTGGCTGATTGAAAGAGTAGTCTAGATCTCTGTTAAACTGGTTTGAACGCAACTGATGGGTTTGAAAACAGTGCCCTGGTACATTCATAGAGTTGACAGGCAGGTGGCCAGGGCAGTAAATGTTTGCAGTCCTAAAGAAGACTTGATGTGAGCCTTGCCATAAGACAGGAAAAGCAGATGATAACTTTTCCAAGTTGTATTCTGTCTTCAGTGCAAAGCACCTTGGCATTTGGGGCAGACGCTAATGAGAGCACCCCAGTCCCCGGGGCATTGCACTGACTGTGGCTGTGTGCTTCTGCCAGGTGATGAGGAGGGGTGACCCCACATGCAGAACATGACCTTGTCCAGGCCAAACCATCGTTCTGTTTTCCTCATTTCTCTGCTTAGAATTAGACTCTAAGCTAAATATGCTGGAAGTGCATTAGCGAAAGTACAGATATGCAGGTTTTTCCTGACTATAGCTGAAGGTTCCATGCCTGAACAAGAACCAGTATCTATATGGGCTGGCAGATTTGGTGGTATTCAGAAGATAAATTATGCATGATTGAAATGAAGTGTATTTTAGTAGCAGATAGCTGAAAAGCCTTGCAATGTACTCCTAATTCAGCAGCATTGCCTTGAGCTACTCTAAGGCCTCTTTTTTAAACTCAGACATTAGCACAAAGCACACCTCTGACTGCAGGCATTTAAAGATCAACAAGGGCCAAAAAAGCTTTTAAGATGCAATGAAACCAGGAAAACAACCATGTTGCCTTTCAGTGTCAGGTTAGATTGCCTTCTTATGAGTGCAGCTATTTCAGGTACAGAGTGCTTGGTGGTTTGGGTCTTGTTGTGTGGAGAAAGTGTTCCCCAGAAAACATCTGTTTCTTTCACCTGCAAACCACAGTGTGCTGTGAAAAGGCAGGACTGTAGCCACAGAGACCCAGGGGGATGAAGGAAATCTGGCTCAAAGGGATGAGCATGGTTTTCTGAAACATGGTATCAAAAAGAGCACTTAAAAGAGAGAGTGCTTTTAGAGCACAGCTACACCGCAAATTGGGCAGGTCAGGCTGCTTGTAATCTTGAAATTCTTCCTGGACTGCTGATACAGTTTTCTTAGCAGCAATATTTGCGTTCTGCTCAGAACTGCAACAAGAGGAGTTTGTTATTTTCTTTTTCAGTGACTGTAAAAGGTTCTGCCTTTCTCTAAGATCACAGGAAATCCCACTGTCATCTGCAGCATCTAAAATCTGTACATGCAGTATAGCTGCTGCTTTCCCTTTTGTGGTCATGTCTTTGTTTTTATTTTGCCATTATTGAAGTTCAGATGTAGCTCTCATGTATGTGCTACAAGTGTAGCACTACACCTCTCACTTGTAAAAATCTTTACAGTGTATTTTAAGCCAACAGATAGTGTAATGTTATATATTTGTATATGTAATATACAACAAAATAACACTATTCATTCTGAATGAAAAAAGTTATTATTCTAAAAGTAGGGATTTACACATTAAAATTACATGGATTTACAACTGCTAGATTGCTGGCTTGTCTGGCTCTCTTTTTTGTTTCCCACAGCAACACCTGTGCTGAGCTGGAGAGGCATTTCCACTTGTTTTGGTAAACTTGTGTGGCTTTTATTGGCCACGTCATCCAAGACAGAACAGGGGAAGTCCTAGCTGTTCTTCTGGAAACATACTGGATATTGTTCCTGCTTTTTTAAAGTCAACTACTTTCCACAGGAACAAGTTAAAAACAAGAAAAGGAACGAAGAGTGCAGAAACACGGGGAAGCTGCTCAGGAGCAATGGTTATGTCGTTGCTCTTCAGCATGGCAACAGCATAGGTCTCGGGGGGACTGCAAATGAAAATGAGAAGCAGTGTTGGGCCCACATGGAAAAAAAAATATTGAAAGAGAATAGAAATGTTCCTATAGGAGAAATGAAACCTGCCCTCCCAGTGCCTCTACCTGGAGAACCCCTTGGCAGAAGAGGGGATAGCTGCAGCCTGGTAGGGCGCAGGGTGCTGGGGCTCACAGAGAGGGGTGAGCATTACTGTGAGGGGGAAGGCAGCTCGGGTCACAGGCGGCACGGCAGCGCCTCCCTCCCTGGAGGGTAACCCCGTGGAAGGAGCTCACTCCATGGTGTAACTGTACAGCACGAGTAGCTCAGCCTCTCACGACAAACACGAGCTTTGCCTTTGTGCCATATGCGGGAGGGCAGGGCCCTGCTGCCCAGAGAAAAGCCACCATTACACTTGTTCTGTCTTGACCATGGAGCTTGTTTTCTTTGGAATGCAGAGTGCCTCATTCCCAGGCTGGTGCCCTAAAGAACTGCAGGGAATTGTAACCCCTGTTTTGGCTGCAGCCACAGGGTGGATGGGGGGTGCAGTGTGTCACCAAATCACACCTGTTCTTCTGGCCTAAAAATACACAGAAAGTGGTGCCCTGGGCAGTCACAGGGTGGAGTTTCAATCAAATAAATGGTCTTCTAATGGCTGCCTTTTTTTCTTTCAGAGGATGACATGAATAATTACATCAGTCGATACTACAGTGAGCCTACCAGTGGTAAGTTTTGCTTGAAAATGTAAATGTGAATTGTATTTTTGCATTGCACTGTGTGCTGTAAACCAGGTGAGACCAAACAGTGATGTCAAAATAAGACCTGCCATGGCACCTCGTGGTTTGTTCCGTGGAAGTCTGTACCAAAGTAGTAGTTCTCTAAAGGTCAAAGGGCCCCAAGGCTGTTCCTGCCGAAGGCACTCGTAATAGCTGGGGCTGTGGGAGAGGCGAGTTCCCGGTGCTGGGCTGCCCCAGCCCGAAAAGCAGTACAGGTGGAGCCGGGAATGAACAGCCTGGGCCAAGTCACTGCAGGGAGCAGGGGCAGGGAGGGGTGAGCTCAGCACCGCGCCTGCTGGGGGCCCTTCCGAGAGCTTCAGCCGAATGCTGTAAGGCCTCAGCCGCAGGCACAGGCTCTCCCCCGGGCTCAGCTCCCGAGGGATGGCCCCTGGCACCCAGGGCTCCCGCTGTGCGCGCAGGGCTGGGGCAGTGGCCCGGGCTGCCTGGCCCAGGGCTGCCCTTGCCAGGAGGAGGCTGAACAGGCAAAGGCCAGGGCAAGCCAAGCTGGGCAGGGGGTGGTGTACACACATGCCCCCCTTATGTCTACGCAATCTCAGGGCTATATTAAAAAAAGCATATATCTATATAAGGATGTGTCTGTGTATACACATATGTACTATGTACATAAAATTGTGTGTATATATGCACATAAAACTGTAATGTATATGTATATCCTGTGTATATATACACACACATATATATAGACATAAGTAAAAATATGTGTTTATACACATATATGTACAATGTATGTATACGTACATACATATATGTATCTCCAAACATACATACATCCCCATTTATAGGAAAAGATTTATATACATATAAAGGTGTGTGTGGATGTGCATATATATATAATGTGTATGACTTTCCTATACAAAGATGTGTGTGAGAGGCAGTGTCTGTGTATATACATAGATATTTTCTCTAAATACATATAAAAATCTATAAAAACATAGAGAGATATAGGTAAAAGGGTAGGGGCATATCTCTGTATCTATATCCCCATATATACGTACACACGTGGAGATGCATACATATATATGGATGTATATGTAACATAAGGATAAATATGTGTAAGTATGGTCGTAAAAATATAGATGTATATTGTATTAAATACATATGTACTTGTGGATACATCCCTACATGGATATACATGGGGAGATAGATATGTTTATCACAAGTATCTTCTGATTTTTGTCATGCTTATGAGATGTGTGTGACAATGTCTGTATATACATATATATCTTGTATGTATTCTATATTATTTAAAATATGAATGTCAGTATGTGTGTATATACAGGTATAATGTCTTGTGTATATCCCCATACATATACAGGGATATACACAAAGATGTGGATATGGATATGTGCATATATAGATATCATGTATTATATCTATATCCATATATATATATACATGGGGAAATACAGGTTTATATGTAATATGTGTGCATAGGTATCTATGTATAAAGACACATAAAGGGATGTGTGTATAATTGCATATAAATAGATGTGTTGTTACATATAAGTATATAAGTATATATCAAAAGGTGTGTGACACACAAAAGCTATTTGTGTGTATATGCAGAGAGATATAAAGACACACTTATTTATATTTTCTGTATGCAAATTTCTGTATTATGTAAATATACGTATGTGGGTGGGTATGTGAGAGCCTGTGTACATACATTATATAGTTTATATATTTTGGAAAATACATGAGTGTATATATGCGTATACATGTATTACACATATAAAAAATTAGTGTACATTTATGGGTATAATGTATTATAAATGGGGAAACTTCCCTACACAGAGACATTTTCTCTATAAATATGGATACATTTTTAAAGATACATGTTCTGTATATATGTGTGAGACTGTGTAGCTATACACACATAAATTATATGTGTATATAAAAAATATGTGTGTGCATACACATATACAGTGTTATTTTTATTTGTGTCTATCTCTGGATATACATCCCCATTATATACATGGCTATATATATAGATATATGATTCTATACATAGGTGTATGTATAAGATGAAAAGGAGGGGAAGGTGTGGGTGACCATGTGTCTGTGTATATACATGTAATTTAATATGTGTATGTGTTCACAGATAGGTACAGTGTATATCCCTATATATACATTCCCCATGTATACACACAGAGTGAGAGAGAGAGAGAGAAAGATAAGCATTATATACATTAATGTAATATATATGGGGCAGACACATACACATTCCCCATATCTGTAGGGATAAATCTATATATAAAGATTAGGTGTATATAAAATGGGGGGGATGGGACACTGTGTCTATACACTTGTGTATTTTATATAATATGTATGTGCATGTGAACATTGCTCTGTATACATCACCATAATATACATGGAGATACATAAAAAGGTGTATGTGTGTGTACATATAATTTTATATGTATAGTAGGTATTACATATAATATGGATGTGTATGTGTGCTCAAGTACAGGTATAAGGTATTATATAGGTATATCCCTATATATACATTCCCTGTGTATATACAGAGTAAGAAATATATGTATTTAAGGGTAAGTAGATGATTTGTCAGAGCAAGTGTGTGTAGTCTATTTAAAGACAGATCATTATACATCTTGAAAGGAGGACTCTGTATCCTATAGTATATGTATCAAATATCTGCGTGTACATATGAATACTGTGTTGTACATGGGGCTCCTAACCTCCCCCATAGCTATATACATAACTTTATATATGAATGTGTATATAAAACAGGTGAGACTCTGTAGACACACACACCCCTAGATACAGAGTGTATTATTTATGGATGTATATCCCTCTATATTCATCCCCTATACACATGGCAGTGTAAAGATGGATCTACAGCTATATAAAGGGGGGGGGGTGTTCAATTTAATGATAATTATATGCATTTAAAGGAGGAACTGTATACTCTAGGGAGATGTGTGTGTGTGTATATATATATATATAATATATATATAAAAAATTCTGTATATATGTAGGTATAATGTATGATTACAATGGGCTCATATATACACCCATGTATTTCCCATATCTATATGCATAAATCCATATATAATGATTAGGGGTATATATACCTATGGATATTACATAGTATGTATGTGCATGTGTACATATATAGGTATTATATGTAGCTCTATATGCCTTTATATACATCCTCTTCATATGCTAGGAGAGCTATAAAAGGTGTGTGTATCTATAGGTGCGTGTGTATAATCCCAAAGCGGTATAAAGGGGGAGTGTTCATATATAGGTTTGATGTATTATCTATGTGTATCCCATTACATACATTCCCCATGTATTTACACACAGTGAGCAATACATAACTATTTATATATAAAGGTAAGCATAGGTGTGTGAGAATGTGTGTATTTAAAGGGGGGGAGACTCTGGACTGTGTGTAGTACATATATAGGTATAACATATTAGATATGGGACCTGTATATATAGAGATAAATCTATGTATAAAGGTCATGTGTATGTAAAATGGGGGGGGGGGAGACAGGAGACTCTGTATAGACAGACATATTGCATACAGTGTGTGCACAAGTACATAGAGATATATGGTGGTATTTATAGTTGTGTATCCCTCTATATATGTTCCCATTTAAAATAAAAGCCATGATCTATAACTAAAGAGGGGGTGTTCATGTGTAAGCATATGTCTATTCCTCCCTCTGTATCCATTCCTGATATACACACACATATATATAGAACAGGGATGTGTGAATGTCTTCCATTTGATGATCAGTAATTATATGTATTTCAAGATGGGGACTGTTTACTATAGTGTGTGTATCCTGAATGTCTGTGTACACAGATCAGTATTAATGTATTCTAGTTGAAGCTTCATGTATGTACATATATGTAATATATAGATGTATGCAATACTATTTATATTAATAGCCCTCTCTATACACCCTCTGTGTCCATGGATATATAAAAGATGTGTGTATCTAGACTTGGGGATATATATATGTATTTTAAAAGCTATTATAAATAAAGGGTTTGGGGGGGTGCAGGGAATGTGCTCATGTATAGCTAGATTTCCTTATCTATTGCTTTATATACACTCTTTCCCCCCCACAGAACAGTGTATGTATTTATAAGGGGGCGTGTGTGTATAGAATATGTAATGAGAGATCTGTCTCCCCGTAAAGATGTATCTGTAGGGGTGTATATACAAAAGGTGAGATAACTAACGGGGGTGTGGAATCACAGCTATTTTTCATGCACGTGAAGCAGGTCCCTCAGCAGCTGTACAGGGGCTGTCCCCTGCTGGGGGGGTCAGGCTCTAAGCGGCCTCTCTCTGCTCTCTCCCCTGCAGACAGCGGTGGCCCCGAGGCTGCCATCTGCATGGTCACCACGGCCGCCATCGACGTCCATCGCCCCAACGTCTCCTCCGACCTCTTCACAGTGGAGGTGCCGCTGCGCCTGGGCAGCACGGGGACCTCCGCCAGCACCACGTCGGGCAGCGCCTCACGCTCCACTGCCAGCTCGGGCACCCAGGCCTGCAGCGAGAGCAGCCAGACACTGGGCTCCTCGCCGGACTGCAGCACAGCCTGCGAGGCGGTGGCAGAGGCAGGGGCCAGCCGAGCGGTGCAGGAGCTGCTCTCCTCGCTGTCGGAAGAGGCCTGCCTGGCGCAGAAGGGGCTGGATCCTGTCAACCTGAAGCTGCCCAGCCCCGCGGGCTCAGTGGGGGCTAGCCCTGACCTGGGCCACCGGCTCAGTGTTTACAACCGCAGGAACCAGGACAGCCTCGACGTCTTCCAGCTCAAGCCACTCATTGACTGCCCCCAGGCTGCCCCTGTGATTGACGAGAAGTATGGGGCACTGGGGCCCCCCGAGCCCCGGCTGGGAAGAGTTCCCGAGGCCTAGGGACAGCCTGGGGCAAGGGGGACGCGCTCGCTGCGCCAGGTGAGAGGCTGCCACAGGCACGGGGGCAGTGCTGGAGGCAGCCCCTGCAATGGCCGCCAGCCTAGGGCCGACCCAGCCAGCACCACCGCTGCCCGTCAGCGCCGGGGGGACACCAGCACTGGGCCCTGCCCCCTGCCGTGGCCTCTGGGGCACAACGGACCCGCCGCCAGTCCCAGGCCACTGCAGACTCACCGTGCGCAGGGGGACAGACAGACTGTGGCCCTGTCCTGGGACCAGCCCAAGGGTGCCCAGGAGCACCAGGGACCAGGGCTGGCACAGCCTCACCGTGCCCAGGGCAGGGCAGAGCTGCAGGACAGCTTGGGCCCAGCCTGGCCCCCGCCCTCACCCTGCCAGGGGCCGAGTGGCCAGGAGGGGCCTGGGGATGGGAATAAACACTGACAGACAGACGTGGCTTCCTGCTTCTATCCCTCTTTCATTCCCTTCCCATCCTTCCACCCACCCCCATTATGTGCCATCCCATTGCCCACCAAAAAAACCCAACACCACAGTGACCCCACCTTTTTCCAGTACAGTCCTTTATTTGCCCTTATTCCAACTGCAGTGCAGGGTTCATCACCATCGCTCACTTCTTCTTCAGCAGCTCCGTCATCTCTGGCACCGCCTGCAAACACCAGTGCTGGGGTAGCACGTGCTCTCCCTCTGACCCCCCCAAACTCTCCCTGTGCAGCACCCACCCTCTAATTGCACTCCCTGCCCTCCCACCCCCCTTCTGCCCAAGCACACCACTCCAGGGGCTGTGGGTCACCCCAGCTCACAGCACTCCCCACTTCTCTCCTGCTGAATAAAGCCTCTTAATTATTTAAGAGCGTTACATTTCCATTAGGTGGAAATAATGCATTCGTACAAAATTTATTAAGGAAATTGTCTACATGGTGTTTCTTCAGAATGTGACTTTGTCTCTGGCTTACGGAAAGGCTCGTGCTCACCCCTGAGCCAGCGGGCATTAGTTCAGGAATGGCATTAAGTGCTGGCAGAGTTTCTGCCCAGGCCTCTGGCAGAGCCACAGCAGGCTCCTGCCCGTCACACATGGGCTGGGGCACAGGCACTTGCACCCACGAGCTGCAGGTGCCGTCCTCCCCGAGAGACCTGCCAGGGAGTCCCTCATGGGCCTCAGTAAGGCAGCAAGCCTGGGCAAAATCAGAACTCCTCCTGCCACCCCTGAACTTTCATACTTTATGAAACTTCTTAAAAATACCTGCAAGCACCTATGTGTGGTTATTTCTCAGAATGGTTCAGGAAACGGAGTCAGGCTGCCTGTGACACACCAACAAACACACATGACAGCTTCTACTGTCAGGGACTGAAGTTTGAGCATGAAAATCATAAAGCAAATTCTTTAACAAAGCAACCCAAAGCAAACACCCTCACACAGATGTCTGTAACTTGTCCTAGGTTACATCATCTAAGCTCTCATGAGATCTCTGAAACATTCGGTTACCCAGCGCAGCTCCTCACCTGAAATAAGTCAGCCACCAGGCCATAGTCTGCCACTTGGAAAATTGGAGCTTCTGGATCCTTGTTAATAGCAACAATGGTCTGCAAGCAACAGTAAAGCACCATGTGAATATAGATCCTGATTAACGTCTAGGGCTGGATTACAGTGACCCAAGAACCATGGGCTAAATTCTCCCCCAGCCCCTGGGAAGCACAAGCTATGGATCACAGCATTTAACATTTTCCCTTTCCACCTCAAAGCTAACCAAAAACAAAGGCAACCCAACCCCCAAACTGCTTTCCCTGCATACATCAGAGCTATCCTCCCCTGTTGAAGGGTCTAGAAAAAAAAAATTGCTACAAAGGATTATCTGCAAGATCTAAACCATACTGTTACAGAAATAATTCAAAGCAGCATTCAAAACAAGTACAATAAAGCCATGCCTAAAAGCCTCTGTACTTGCTTACTATGGGATATATCATTTAGTTTGTCACACAGTAGAAAACCACGAATGATCAAAATCCCAACACAACAGTCCAGAAAATGTCTGTCTTGGTTTAAACTCTGCCCTACAGGTAAATCTTTCTGTAAATGTCTGTCCTAGCTTCCAGCAAATAAGCCTGGGTGTCCACATCAAATCTCCAACAGGATAGGGAGCACACCCTAAAGGATGGGACAAGGATGACAGCTCCTAAACCAGGCCTTAGCCCAAGGAGCGGTCCAAACAGCAGCACTCCCCTAGTGCCTGCCCCCCTCTGCTGCCACTGTGAGTGCTGCTTTGGGAGAACGGGACCCCTTCAGGCCAGCTCTAACCCAACAGCCATGTGATACAGGGACCCACAGCTCACTCTTTCCCTTCCTCCACGGAGTGTACTTGTCCAACAAAATTAATGGCTCAGTAGTATACACCTAGTGGCAGTAACCCAAGTTTGCAAATCCTGCATTTTTAGGCCCACAGAAATGTTTTTTTCTTCACAGGTCATTTGCATCCTGTGACTCACTACACAGAATGACCTCATCATCTCTGTGAAGGAAGTCCCTACAGCAGAGCACTGCTGCTGCCCTCTTGCCAGCTCCTGCAAGTATTCCAGTAATGCTTCCCCTGAAACATTTTTCCCCCAAGTTTTACTGTTTTTATTTCAGTTACCCCATTTGCAAATGCAAGCCTCCCCTGACAGTTCAACAGTGCAAAACACAGGCTGTGATACCCGAGGCTGTTGGCTCAATAAAGGCTTGAACTGTACTCTAAGGCCCTACCAGGCTTTGCAGAACCACTCAGAGGGGCAGGATCCACGGGGGCTAACACTGAGCACCAACTGAGGCCAGCAGTTAGGGACACCTTGGGGGCTGCTGGCTCTGTCCTTAGCCCAGAAATAATGAACACCAGTTGCTTGCAAAACTGTCTTAAGTTTTAGTTTGGCAGCCTCATCCTTCCCCTGTCTCCATCAGCTGAAATAACAGTTCTAGTCCTCTACCTCATCACTAAATCAGACTTCCCATGGTAAGAAGCAAAAAGCATCACCTTATTTGCAACAGAACGTTGCAGGTTAGATCCTGTAACCACCTCATAAGGCAATTAAAAATAAGGAACAAAAGCAACAATTCTCCAGGTCTCCTCAAAAGCTGCATTTTCTACCTTGCTGTAAAAGGACAAATAAATTATATATTTTGCTTGGTAGAAAGCATCTGACTCCTTTGGAAAACATATCCTGAAGTATACAAGTTCACAATGCCAGATAATTCACAGTGCTGAGGGAAGCCAGGGGACACTCCAGAGAGTTCCCATGGCTGCATAATTCTTCATGTTTGCAAAAACTGGATCTTTTCAGTAACTAAAACACCCATATGCTTTGACTAAAAGGAAAGCAGAACACAAATAAAACTGAATTTTACAATACACACATTTGTTTACACTATAAAAACTAAGATATAAAGGAGAAATTAAACTGTTAAGTACGCATCTCACATCAGCAAACTTTGTGTGTCCTTATTGTCTACAAAATAACATCTCAAAATATCAAACATGGCATTGGAAAATCCAAAAACCAGAGAGTTTGCTGTTACGGTACAGGACAATATTGCTGCTCAATATTTCTATATCAAAGGAAATTCTGGTACTTACTTAAACTAACAGATTCCCAGTATTGCTGGTAGTCTTAGATAAGGCAGGGGATAGATACAAACAGGGTCAGATCAAGTTTTAAGCAGTTAAATACACAGTTCTCAATGGCTGATACTAATTCCACCCACCCATCTTCTCCCTCACCCAAAAGCACAGTTGGAGACTAAACGTCTGGAAACAAAGACACAGTGGGCCATCAGCAGAGCCGGGGAAGCGCCACAGCAGCGCTGCCCCGCGGGCTCCACGCCTGCCTGTCCCTGCTGTCTCCCCTGGGGCTGCACTGGGACTAGAAGAGACTGTGGCACCGCCGTCCACTCAGACCAGTGAGAATACACTGCTACAGGTACTACTACTCATTCTTCTCAGTAGTGACCTTCGTATCCCTGCCACATATCACTCATCCATAATTTCTAATTTCAGTTGGTTTTTCTCCACTATGTAAACCAATGCTATCGCCACCTGAGTCCCTGATTTTAGAAGACTGAGGCCCCAGAAAGGTGCTGTATCCCAAATCCAGCTTACATGATCTTCTCAAAAAGAAAAAAAAAATTGCCAAAGAACTAAGCTGTAAGAAAGCACAGATCATCCTAGCACACAGGCTGGCTTGTGAGGACAACGACCATACACTCACTAGTCTGTCACTGGTTAAACACAAGGATCTGCCTGTAAAGTTTTACAAACCTGTTCCTCAGTTTTGTAAGCTATTTAAAGTTCTGGGTTTGGTTTCTGCCAGAAATCATACGTTCATTCCTTGGAAATAGAAAAGAAATATATATCCTTTTTCTAAAATTACTTGCGGGGAGGCAGGACAACCTACAGTTCTTGATGTTTGTCATTTGATAGTACGACTCGGCAGGTAACTGTTCCTCTTTGCAAACACTGCACTGCAGACCAAACTGGCAGTTCCAATTTTGATTATTTGCTTTGGCAACTAATGAGTTAAACCTTTTAAATTTTACTGCCGTTTTATAATAGGTTTCCATTTGAATGGCTAAATGCAGGAATGTCAGAGACATCTTTTACTTTATGGAATAGTAAGTTCATAATTCAAATTGCACATTGTTATGCATGAATTAATATGTCATACTCTGAAATAAACGCAAATGGAACTATTGTATAGAATTCAGGCATATGTGGGTTTGGTTTTTTAAAAATAAACAAAGTCAATTAGTTGCTTCTACTTTCCACTTTGGGTTGCAGAGCAATGGTTTTTCTACCGTGTTAGTTGTTTTGCCATAATACCTTCTCTTGGCAAGGCTTAGAGGGATAGCATGTTTTAAAGAAGCAGACAAACTGGCAATTTTAACATTAAAAAAAAAAATGGAAGACTGGCTAAAGTACTGCTATAAAAGCAAGGAAGTCAACTCATCTCCTTCCTCAAAAAATCTCTGCTAGTACATCCATCTTTATCTACCTTGCTGTCTTTCATCCCAGCCAGGTGTTGGATTGCTCCAGATATTCCCACAGCAATATAAAGTTCCTAGAAGAAAACAAAAATGAGACATTTTTGGTACCCATGACACAGTTTCAGTCAGCTCTCACAAACCTTACTCAAAATCAATTACATGCCGTAGTTTTCACATTACAGTAGTTTTCAATATTAAAGGCAGCTGATGATTGGTTCCCTTCCCCACTTGGGGACACAATGTAACTGTAAAAGGAGAATCCCAAAGGAGCAGCTGGCAAAGACAGATGAGGAAAAAAAAAAATCTACATCAAACGTAAGACACTGCTCAGCTAGAGGACAGGGCAATCAGTGTTACTCATGACCCTGGAGACTCCCAACACAAATAGTAAGCAAGATAACCTACAAATGGGCAATGCAGTTACCTAAAGAGAAAACCTAAGCTTTTTTGTTGAAGCCTCTAGGATCCTTTAAATAAGCTGAAATTCAGGTGTTTAAACCTTTTTAAAGTTTCCTATATGGCAGGATGAAACATTTCAGATACTGAAGTGGGCTAGTGGATGTGCACTTGTAGTGATAGTTTCATTTCCTTACCCTGCCCCTCAGTGTTCAGATACCCTTAAGCTTTTCTTCCCCCATTCAGAATGGACTCCCTCACAGAGGAGAAAAGAAGTGCTTCCCAGGTAGGCACCAACATGCAATAGATCTCTACATTTTGGGGCTTGCAATCTAGCATCTCCAAAGAGGCTTACAGTCAAAATAAATAAAAATTTATAGGAAAATAGATCTATTTCAAGGGTTTTAATTCACAACAGAAAAGTATTTTTTTCCCCTCGGGCTGAAAATCATCCAGACTATAATCTATCCAAATCCAAGTATATTTTCAGCTCTGCGTCAGTTTTCCCACCACAAGTCCAAGTAGCAGTCAAACCTGTACTGTTTAGCTACCTAATTTTACAGAAGAAAATCAAAGGCAGTACTTTTCACCAACTCATTCAATAAGAGGAAACTGTAACACGAAAAACTGGCTAGGGGATCACCTGTCAAAACCAATTAAAAGGTAGTATTTATACATGCTTAGAAATGATGCAACCTCAGATACCAGCAGAATTTCTCTGAACAATACCAAGGTTAGTCCATATATAAGAACATACAAATCTAATTCAAGAAATTATTTTGGGGGCCAAGGAGGATAAGAGGGTCAACAAATCTTACCCGTGTGCAACTGAAGATGTGCATTACAGTTAAGTGGCTTTTAGCATGACAGAACAAAGCACAGCTGTGGAACAGGCACAGACCTACGGAAGAAGCTGGCAAATGAAGGTGTTCAAATACGGAGACCATGCAGACTGCTTCTTCTGTACAGGCCTGATAGTCATTATATCAATTAAAGAAAAAAGAGATGATTGCTTTCTGATGTTTCTGCAGCTACAGATTTCACCTATTACACTGGTTTTTGAATAGGAATAGATAAATAAGATTTATGAAGCTTTTCTACACTTTTCTACAAAAGCTCTCCCCTATAAAAATTGAAGGGGAGGGAAAACAGAGCAGGAACAAAGTATTTCCTATTAAAAAGGCTTGCTTTGAAATTGAAACACAGAATCTAGTCTGCATTTCCACAAAAACACACAGCTGTTGAAGACACTCAGAAATTTCTTAGCCTCAATAGCTTTTTACTGAGTAGATTACTACTGGAGGTCAATCCATTTTAACCACAGCTGCAATGTAATGTAATATTGTCCATATAAGAACTCATGGTTAGAATGCAGTATTTTAATTATAGCAAATAAAAAAACCCCAGATGTTAGAGTAATTTCTCCTGTAACATCATATAGTCTTTAATAGAAGCTCTTTTTAAAAACACATTACTGTAATTTGATTTATTTTTTTTTAGAGCAATTCATTAAGTGCCAGTCATCTAGACTACCAGATACTCTTATCAGTCTGCTTAACTTTGTGAAGTTCAGACTTTGGAAAGAATCCAGCTAACCAGGAGCCAGATGCCTATGTATATATTCTATTAAAAGCCAGATGCCTATGTATATAGCCTATTAAAATATCTAGGAAAAGACAAGGATGTTTCATTAAAAGTACATTTGTAAATCACCAGGCTTGTCTAAAAAGCCTTTATTACGCATCCAAGCCATGCCCTTCTAGGTTATGCACTCCTGGCTCTCTGGCTAAGGTAGTTGGTCCATTCAGGAGGCTGTAAACATGGTAGATCACTTCAGCAATGTTTTCATACAAAGAGCACAGGACAACATGTCTTATCAATAGTTCCATACTGTAAAATAGATTTGCCTGCTAAAGTATTAGCTGAAATCTATTCTACAATTTAGTAGGGGGGCCACAAAGGACCCACAAGGCCTGAATGATAAAGATTCAGGATTGTTCAGTGCTCTCCAAGGAGAGAATTCAACTGGTCATCCAGAGAGGTCATAAAATACTCAGAAATTTGGATCTCCAAGTTATTTTCAGGCTAGTACTCTTGTTTTCATGTTTTCCCCAAAATCATTAACTTCTATCGTGCCTTTTGCTGAGCCCTACCACTTCTACTGTGTTAGGGTTCAAGAGTTCCAAGTCAGGACTGTAGCCCCAAGCACTATGAAGTGAGGGAGGAAAACAGAAAGCAGATGGGTACCACAGAGCAGCGCCACTCCCAGCTGCGTTATGCGACGTGCCTGCCATGGCAGCAGAGAGCACTTTAAGGTCTGGAAGGAGATCTCAGCTCTTCGGAGCTCATCCACGCAGGAGAACCACGCCAAGGCACAAAACCACATGAATCAGAGTCTGGATTGCACCTCTCAGGTGTCAGCTAAGATGGCTTTACCCCAACTACAAGTTCCTGCTTTTTGGATCCCTGGAAGCTGCTCTAATTACTGCTGTTGGGTGGCTGATCCACAGCCTACAATTACAGGCACTTACATCGAAGCCGAGGACATAGAGTGGCATTTATCAACTCCCTGGTGCTTGTGCACAGACAGGTTTTCAGGAAAGGGCTGCTGCCAGCACTGTACCACGTGAGAATGGTGTAACAAAACAGCACACAGACTCTGTACCAAAGGGACTCACTGCACTAAAGTCCCAAAAGCAATTCAAGACAAGGAAAGAGAAAGTTTTGGTGGTATAAGGGCATGGCATCAGTTTAGACAATTGTCTTGCCTCACAGAATCCTAATCTCACACAGGAAATAATTACTGTACATCTGTCACAGCCACGCCACAAATCTTTATTTCTTATGAAGTGGACAGTGGACATCAACACCGGGGAAGGGACACCAGAGAAGAGAGCTCACAGTAAGAAAGAGCACCGTGCAGCACAGGGAGCTGAATGGACCGAATGGCCTAAGAGCATACAGAGCAGAGGGCAGGGAGGCACAGTCAGGAAGTACTTAAATTAAAGATGGACTTTTGCAGAAAGGGCTTGGTATGTCAGCAATGGGAATGTGTGAAGATGGGAGCATCGGCATGTAATGTACCCATGAGGCTTCTCACAAGGGCTACAGCAGCAGACCAGCACAAAGGCCAGAAGTGTTTTAATGGGTCCTGACACACAATATCCCACAAGACACCAGTGGGAGCCAGGACCCTGAGAGAGACCTCAAAGTTTGTAAGCACAGATTTGCATCACAACAACCCTAAAAAGCAACAGAATTCCCAAGTTCCAGATTTATCCTATTCAAAGGCAAGATTCCAAATCAAGAATCCAACTTACCATTTGCTTTTCAAAGTATTAACCTAGCCTTGTATTCTTCTTTCAGCAAACATGACCATGGTATACCTTGTAGAGAGAGTCACTGTACACTAATCATTAGACTGAAAAAATCCCCCTCAGACATCCCCTGAAGTCCTACTTCTGTTTTAAATGTACCCAGCTTACATATTAGCATCTGCAGCAAGTCCATGAGACCACACACAACTGGCTCCAGAATCCATGCAGCCAATTACATGCCATTAGGGTAAATGTCACAAGAGTGCTACACGTAGATGTTTACAATTACCAATATACCAATGCAGTTATTTTCCTGCACATACTGACTCTTCCAATTGCATATAGAATAATCTGTGGCATATAATATTACTTCATTTTTACCTATGAGAATATTTTAAAATGCCTTAGGCTGTCCTGGGGCAATTAAGGTACATCTGCTTACGAGAACCACAAGAACAGTTTTTAGTTGCAACTGCTGCTATAAGAGACTACTGTGCATCCACAGGTGCAACACAAGATGAGGAAGTTACTTTACAAGCATGCCGTCAGCTACTATTGATTTTTATGCCAATTTTTGAATTATGCTGAAAACCTTCAGTGTACATCAATTTATCATCCTACCAGTGGCATGCTTTTAAACAAGCTAGTTTAATAAACCTCTCTGGCACACATACTCTTTTTAAAGGCAGCTCTGATATTTTATTTGCTTTGCAAGAGTGAAAGGACAATGAAATTAGAAAGAAATCTTTGTAATGAAAATTGCTTCATACAAGAAACTCCTTCCAATTACAAGCTATTAACCCAATAAAGTATTTGCTGGCTTGACACTAGCTCATATATATTACACTGTATATCAAACAATTATCCAACATGTACTACTTTGATGCAGTTGAATATGTTCCATTCAAGAAGCACATTACTGAACTCCCAACCACAGTTCTTTTTCACTTTAAGAACCTTTGATCAGCCAAGCTATGTAATTACTCTTAAGCGTGGTTAGGGTGTCTGCTGGAGTGCAGGGCCATACAGCAATTTTTTTTTCTTTCTCTAGGGAAAAGCACATCAATTGCTTTCAGCTAAATGCACTTACATATGAATATTTTAGTACAATTTAATGTTTCTGCACCAACCCCAAAGGAGCAGAGCATCAATTTGTGAACATAGTTTTCTTGGAGTTAAAAGCTACACTGGATAATGCAGGATGAAAGGGGTTGTCAATCCTTAGCTTTTTAGCAAGTCAGAGAAAGGTACTCTGTAAATTCAGTCCCAGCTGCACACAAACAGC